AAACATTAGTGACTTGTGGAAAATGTCCCTTCTATATCAAAGCAAGAATACTGGAATAGGTGTAACCTTACTTGCAAAGAGTTCAGTGAATGGTCCTAAGTAAGTCTGCCATATTTCTGTCCAGGTGTTGGGCTTTCTGTTTCTGTGCTATGTCTCTTAAAATTTATGGATATAAGGCAGCCGAGCCAGACTGGATTTCTGCTCTTTTAAATGTATAGGTGAACACTAAGGAGTTTACTCTATGGAAGAGAGGATGTGCTTAGGGAAACCCAGACATATAGTAGCCTTAAATACAAGATGGCTTTCTGTGATGGGGTGCATCTATATTGCTATACAAACAAATTTGCCTGGTCTAGGCAAGACTCCTTGCTTGCCTAAATCTAGCTGATGTATGTGAAATTAGCAATTTAAATTGTTTTGATGGAACTTAATGTGGATCTGCTCTAAAACAAAGTTGTTTGCTGAGACTAAGGGCTGCTAGTTCCGATAGTGCTAATCCACCAAGACAGCTGAGAAATACTTAGCCAAGAAGAGAGTCGTCAGACTACCAGTAGATGTGAAGAATGGTTATTGCTTCAATGTTCAGCTCAAAGTGTGATGATTTTTTTTTATGATTGCCTTAATACAGCTGGGTGTGTAGTGTTCTTAGTGTCATGTGATGTCTTCTGAGGAAGCTGCGAGCTTCATTTTCCTCTGTTTTCAAAGGTCTGACAGGTTATGGTAAAGGTAGAAATGTGACTATTACTCAGTTTTTCAAATGAAAGTTGGATTTTAAATTCTTATGAAATAATTGAGATTTTTAAACGGTGTAGAGCTGCTGTTGTAATGTATTATGGTCTGTAGCCTATTTCTTGTTTGGTTAGTGTCTTAACTAATTAGCATATCCAACCTGACCTATGGTGTGGTATTGTGATACAGTATTAGTGCTTGCAGTTTCACGGGGTCTGTAACTGATGCTGGAAAAGAGAGGCAGTTGTAGAGAAGAGAAACAGAGCTTACTGCTCTGTTGCAAAACAATACAAACAAACCGTGGAGGTGAATCTTGAATAAACAAGAGATATTACCAGGTTTGGTGTGAAATCAATGGGAAAATCTGCTGTTACAAAAAATGAACAAGGAAAACCTTAAAAGGAGTTTTTGCAAAGGATTATTATTTTGTTAAATAATCTTTAAATGGAGAAAGAAAATAGGCCATTTTCCTATGTTTCGAGGAGGGTAGGTATTGTATTAACCAGGGAGAAGTGACGTTTGTTCTGGGTTTGCACAGCAGTGCAGATATCAGCCAGTTCATCTTTAGCTTTATAAGTGCATGACGAATGGAACAGTTGGCTTTAGAAATGGCACTGAAGGCCAAGAGCCCAGCATCAGGCAGTGTGTGCTGCTGTTCCTTTATTCTCTCTGGCTCTTTGGCCACTTGGAAGGCTATATGATTCAGTCACTGTTTCATTTAGATCCTTTGCAGCACAGGTTTTACTTGAGTCATTTGGTCTCGCGCTCACAGTGCAGCTAAAGAATATTATAAAAGGAGAAAAACTTTGTTCTTATTTCATGTAGATAAGAGGATTTTTAATACTCTATAGCTGCAGTTAGATGCTCATTAGTTGCCACCAAATATAGGTATGTAACTTTTTTAAGAAGGAAGAGCCCACCACAGTATGTAGTTCAGCACTGTGAAGGCAAGCATACTAAATTTGGTCATTGCTCAGTGAGGTCAGGTGCTGTGCTTAGTGAAGGGGGTGTGTGTCTAGGGAATCTGCTCTTAGTTGCAGCTGGAGGTGCCTCCAGTGTGATAGGTGGCTGGTTCTCAATTTGAATGTTGAAATGAACCTGTTTGCTGACTTCTCTTCCTGTGATTTGTCCTAAGACCTTGACTAGGTCTTCTTAATTTCACAGCACTATGTTTTCTGTGTTGTGCTTGGTGTTTTTTTTAATACCAGGTTTGATACAAAGCTTTTGTGTGTATATCACACATATCCATGTTAGCGAAGTCCCTGAGACGCTGATGTGCAGAAGTCATGCTTGACCCACCTTTTTGTATTACGACTTTAGTAACTTCTCTCCTCTGCGCTTCTCAGGAGTTACGAAGTAACTCTGTAACTTACCATCCTTGAATTTTATTAGCACTGCTTTAGAGGAAAAGAAGGTCAGCCTTTGAGAAAGAAGCTGAAAATCTTAGTTCCATGGAATTTTTATGCTAGGTTAGCCTTCCAATTAGACTAGAACAGGAATTACTACCACTCTGTATAATACAGCATAGTGAGAGGCTTCTACCTCATGCTTCACTGGTTGTGTGGGTTTTCGTTTCAAGTGTAATTAAGCAAACAGTAAATATAGAACAAAAATAGGCATTAGGGTTATACATTTTGTTAACAGAATAGAGTAACTCATGTGATCTTGTCCTTCAACCTTCAGTTCAGCAATTCTTGGAACAGAATGTCTGAGACATCAGCGTATGGAGCCTCTGTGTGGGGAAGCAGGTGGCCCATGGAGAGCTAATGTCATGGGTAATGGTTGGTGTAGGAACACGTGTGTTTTCATGGGCTTATTTGGGTGTCCCCTGAAGGAGCTTTACATACTAGTTTCTAATAAAGCTACTCCACAAGCTGGATGGCATATATTTGAACAATGTATAATCAAGTTTGGGTAGAAGAACACCACTTCATTGTTTGGATATTTTCCTGTTTGAAAATTGAAGATTTGGGCAGTCTCTGCAGCAGGTTTGTGGCTGATGATAAGTAAGTCCTGTTAAAATGAGTTCACAAGCAATCACTGTTCTTCAGCAAGATACTTTATATCAAGGGCATCCAGTGAAGGAATTTTATGAAGATTTTAAGGTTCCTTGGGTATAAAAGCACAGTTCTTCAGTAAAAAAACTCCCTAGAAGACTGATTCTTCTATTTTTAGGGGGAACTTTGGGTGATGTACCCTAGGAAAGGCTTTGCTGCATACCCTGTGCAGAGGAGCTGTATATTCAGCAATATGTTCTTGCTGAATTGAGCAAAGCTCATTTATGTTATTGTTGTCCACCAGGGTAACACATGATTGAAAGCCATTCTAGGCTTAGTTCTCTTACAGCAGCTCTGAAACTTTGAAAACTTGTGTTGCTGACTTAACTCAGTGTTTTGCTGCAAGATAGGGAGTGGATGCTTCTGGATGGCTGCTGAACGAGTTCAGTAACAAAATATTTTGAGGGAGTTGAAGCTTTGCTTTCCAAAGTGAAATATGCTTGCAAAATCCAGTATAGGATTCCTGACTTAAACTTATGAAAATATGTAACTTGAATTTAAAAAATGCTGAGAGGAAATAACTTCAGAACATGTTTCCAAAAACCAGTGTAAGAAAAGTTTGGTTTTTTCCAAGTCATAGATAATGCCACCTTTGGCTTTGAAATCCGTTCAGCAAATATTCCAAAGTACTGTGAAGTACAAAAAAATAAAATTAAATGTTGTAGTTGTTCATCACTAATGATTAAACATCCCACAGAATGTGGGGGGGAGTGTAAGCTTGTGGGAATTGCTTGTGTGCAATTTGTAAAACTGCATGCTTGCAGTCTTGTGTTGTAGTTCGAGGGTTTTTTTTAGATATATTCTGGCAATATAGATCTCTTAAGCCATAATTTCAGAAATAAGCTTGGCTGGAGCTACCATGAAAAGAGGCAGAACCAGCTGCTTATTCTTTCACTAGTCCTAGCCCAAGTTCACAGAGGATCTATTCTTCAGCTTGGGAAGCTATTTAGATTACATTTTTGATTTGTTGTATCTTTGTACTAGAAAGAAAGTACTGATTTACTGTATGGCCACATAAATGCATGTCTGCAAAAAAAAAAGCAGAGTGCAGGGAGAGATACTTAGCATTATTTAGCAGTAATGCTGACCCAGTTTTTCTATGAGACTTGGGAGAAGCCTGTCTGGGCTTTAATGTTATGATAAAACCATGGGTGTTATGTCCAGTAAACAGGCCATGTGTGATGTTGGAGAACAGCACTAGGTAAGTTCTTAGCACAGCTGTGCATACTGCAGCTGACTTGGTAATTGATGAACCTTCTATTAGTGGTGCCACAAGATGAGCAGCATAGTTGCTAGAGAGACACAGCAGAAGCAGTGTGACAGAACAGGTTAAATGTATTTTCTCCGTTTTGTGAAATAGTATGGCAAAAAGTGATGTATGTAGAACTTCAAACAGTCAGTTTTTGACCCCCTTTCCTTAGTAGTACTTATTTTCTTCCTTTCCACTATTGCCTTACATAATCTGCTACTCTCTGGCATGAGTTTGGAGGGATGAAAAAAAAAGGACTGTTTTTTGCTGAAATGTTTCTTACCTGCCACTGTGCAACTCGGTCTCTTACTAATTACTGTTAGTAGACATGTGAAGGTTGCTTACCAAAGGTGATGTAGGTGCAGAGACCATTCTAATACGTATTAGAGCAGCTTTTGGATTACTGTGGACTCTGTTGTGCTGAAATAATAATCTCAGTGTACAATGCATATATTTGCTTTTATTTCTCTTAACTCCCTGCTATGTCACTCTGCTTGAAGCTCCTTGCAGCAAAGGTTTGTTCTGGCAAAGCACTATGCACGTGTGATTGTGTATTACAACAGGAATTGCTGTCCTTACCAAAGGCTAATTTATGTAAATCAAAGCTTGTTTACAGCATCTGCATTTTAGATTAAAGAGAACTAATTTACGTCTAATGTTGAGATGCTGTTGCTGCTCTGGGTAAATGGCAACCATTAAAAACATGATTTTCCCGATGCTGTTAAAGGCTTTTTGTGAGCTGCAGATTTTACAATGCATGCAGCTATGACTTGCATGTTTTAAGAATGGTTAGCTATTTGTAAATGAGTCTGAAAAACATTACTTACACTCTTGATGTCATTCTTATAACCTCCTCTTCAATCTGTTCTTGGGGATTTGGCTTTTGAAAAACTAAATGTGGTGGTGTTTACAATCCATGCAGGGCTCAGCTGAGTCAAGAGAACTTGAACAAAATTCTAGTTGTAATGTAAGCTGGTGAAATAAATGCTTAGTCTTGCTTGTGTTCTTGTGCTACAGCTGCAGCACATCTGTTCCGGATGACTACTTGGCCAGCCCTTCAGAGTGCCTTTGTGAATCCAGTGAAGTGCTGAGGCTCTCAGGGTCACAGTAACTTCTCATTTTTCAATATGTAGTACCTTTATGGATGACCAGGGAAGTGTGGGAGAAGAGTGCTTTTCTCTTAACTCTATTATTGATGATTATTCCTCATGAACCCCCAGGCTTTGTACCTCCTCAGATGTAACTGAGCTTAGGTGTTCACTGCAGAGCCTCAGACTGAGTGCTGGGTGGAGGGTGCCTTTGCAGAGGTGTGATGGCTCAGATAATCCTTCCCAAGGGCTGGGAGAACTGCAGTCTTTAGCTTTTGAGAGGGATATTCTTGCCTTAGTTGTAGAAATATCTCTTACCTGGAAATTCTGAAGTGTGGCAAAAAGTTACTGCCCTGTTTGTTGGTTTGTCTGTTAAGGACTTGCAGCATTTAAGCCTCTACTGTAAGAAATAAAGAACTAACATCGAGGCACTGGTTGCACTGAATGTGCAGTTAATTTTGAAGTCAGGAGCTGCATGTTCACTGTGTCTTGTAGTGCAAAAATCTAGCAGCACATAAAGCATTGGTCCTATAAAGCTAAAAGTTTAACCTCTGAGTTTCAAAGGGAGATAAAGGCTGGTGGTCTAAGAAATATTGGTTGGATCAAAGTGGCCTGCTTGGAACTGGTGTCTCAGTTTGGGGCTTTTGCTTGTTCTGGTGCAGCTTCTGGTAACATTAGTTCTCTATGATGGGCTTTCCTGGGTTTGAGTTCCAAGTCTAGAGTGGATGTAGTAAGTGTGCAGTTATGTCACTTCATGGTTTTGATCTCTCTGAAATGGCTTAATTCTAGTGTTGCAAACCGGTCAGGAAGTAGTTAAATACAGAGGAGAATTTTGTTGCTTTCTAGTAGGAAAACAGGACTGGAAAGCTAACTGTGCTGCATGGTGCCTTAGTGTGACCTTGATGTTGCAGCCTATGGGTTTAAATACAAGAATTGTTTAAATAAAATTACAGCCATTGTAATATGAAGAATCTACTTGTTTGGGGAGCTTTCTTGTGTATGATGACAGTTTATTGTGCCTATCCAAATGAGTTTCTGGTCTCTGAAAGAGACCATTATAAGCTACTGGAACACAAGTGTTTGAAACAGAGATTATCGGAATATTTGGTGCCTCACAAATTGGATAGTCAAGTCCTGTGCAAAGCTGTCAAGCCTAACTTGATGGATTTTTTTGCTAATATTGCCCATGAGGCTGAAGATGTGTCTCTAAGAGCATCAGTTAGATGTTTGAGATGTGATGAAATGGAAGCCTGTAGGCATATATTGTTTTCTAGTCATCTCAGTGAAATCTAATTTCTGGCTTCATATTCTTCTCATATGTAAGCCAACATCTTAATGCATGAAGAATAACAACATAAGAAGTGTTACTAAAAAGCTGGTTTTGCTTTCTCAAGTATAGTTGATATCATAATTAGCAAAAGGAATGTGACTTACCATATGGTGATTATCACCTGGTACTGATTCAGAGCTTCACTGAAAAGTCCTGTGTGCCACAGCCTTTTTCTTGTGGTCTTCTAATGAGCTAAGTATTTCCAGCATATTCTGCAGATGGGCTATCCTGACTGCTATTTTGGCACTCAAACTAGCTGTCCCAGGATCTAGTTTCACATCTCTTCCCTGCTTGCGAAAAACGTTCTTCAGTTCTGCCTTTTCACGTGTTCCTACGACTGTTTCCTAACCTCAATTTCACAAGTGTCTGGTGTTTATTAAAATAAAAATTCATAGCACAGTGCTGGAATGATCAGATGTGCAGTTACACTGGGAGAAGTATGCAGCGCTAACCAGAGCAGAGCTTTCTGAGCTTAACACTTTGGACTGTAGTACTAGGCAGCCTAGGACAAACTGTTTTCCTTCATATCCTTTTTCCCCATTGCACGATGTAGATGATGTTGGTCTTGTCTGTAAAGTAGGTTTTCTAGGAACTAAGCAGAAATGAAAGGAAAAGGGAGGTTTAATTAATTAATTCTAAACAAAATTGCAAGCTTACTCTTCTGTTTTGGAGAGGGAAAGCAGGTGAGCCAGGTACTTAGTTTCTGTGTGAAGAGCTAGTTTTTGCTCTTCTGTTCTCATATCTTATTAAACATCCTGAAATTGCAGCTAAAACTTTTACAGAGTGATGTATTGCTGTGCTTGAATTTGAAAGCATTTGGATTTAAGCTGCTGAAGTTTCATACCACCTTCCTTTGTAGGTAGTACCGTGGCTTAATGTTGCTTTCATGTAAAACAGATGGCAGAACAGAATGTTCTGTTGTAGACATACATTCTGGCCTATTAGTTTGAACTCTGAAGCTTGGTTGATGCTGAGATGCATCGGCAGTGCAGACACATCTGTTCTGTTTTGCTGCCTCGTTGAAGGCCTGTTAAAGCCTCTGGCAAACAAGTAGTAGAGCTGTTTGTGGAAAGAAGCAGCTGCAGATAAACTTGGTGTTGGTTGGAGTGCAATGACACGCGAATACTTTTGAGAACTTGATGCGAAGTACAGGTGTGCATACCTGACTTACACGTTCTGAATTCAATGTCATTCTAATTAGAATGTCTTCCTTGGACTGTAGAGGTTTCAGTAACTTAAGAGCTGTTATGTGTGAACCAAAGTTTCATCAGACTTTCGGTTTTTAGTGTGATGTTCCTAATATAGAAGTTTCAGCTGCCAAACGTGTAAGCATGAGCATGCCTATAGTTGTTTTCTTTGTATTTATAGCCCTGTTGATTTTAACAGTCCTAAATAAGTTTATTTTATGCTAATGTGAAAGTATTTTCAGGTTTGGGATTCTCAGGATTTTTTTAACCTCTTGTGAATACTTTAGCATAATGTTACATTAAACACTTTTCGCTGTTTATCCAAATATGGACAAAAGCAAGGCTTGAGCTCTCTGCTGAGAACCTGCTTTGACAGGAATGCATACAGGCCTTTAAGCACAGATTACCACAGCATCAGATTAATTTTAGAGGTTTTCTTGGAATACATAGTTCCAAAGTATTTGGTAAATATGTGGACTGTACTGCTGGCTTTTTGTCAAGTATGAGTTTCAAATACAGCTCATCTAAACTTACCTATTGCTATGTATCTGTGTGGTAGTTACCTTCAATTGTTAAATGTCTCATTTCAGTCCGAGGATGTCGTCCTGGAAAGATCGTTCAGATGACCGAGGCAGAAGTTCGGGGCTTGTGCATAAAATCACGAGAAATATTTCTTAGCCAGCCTATTCTCCTGGAACTAGAGGCACCTCTGAAAATTTGTGGTATGTAAACTTCTGTGTGTGTTTTATGTAGGTGTTTTAATCTAGTTGTATGCTGGGTGGGTTGGAAGGATACTGAGATAGGCAGGTGAGCTCGAGTTAGGTGACAGGGCTTAGAGTGATGTCTTCACAATCTTAACTGTAATTTTCAGTTTAGATTGGATTAAGTGAAGAAAAAGCAACTAGCAGTGGGTAGATGGCTGATGTTGCTGGTACTATTGAGGAGCAAGTTCCTTTGGCAATAAGGGCTGCTGTGCCCTCACCTAGTGCAGATTTTGCAGCCTGTCCCTTGCTTGCATGGAGCTGCTGCACTTTTGATCACTATTTCAGAAAGCACTTAGCTGCTTTAAAAGAAAAAAGGCAAATGTTTAATGTTGTAGTTGCTCACTTCAAAGCATAAGCAAAACAAAGGCCTTGTGAAATGGAACACTTGAAAAATAGAAAGCATTTTTGGTCTTTCAGTTGAGAAAGTAAAACTGAATGCAGACTGTTAAATTAGGCTTAGTTAGCATGTAACAGATTCCTTGAGCTTTACAGCAAGTTTTAACAGACGTTATTATGACTGTGAAATGTGAACAAAACTAAAATGTGTGTTATCTACCTCTCTGTGCCTGTATAAGCTGCTAGACTTGCTCCAAAGTATGCTGCTGTTAATAGGTATGCAAGCTTGTAAAAAAACTGTTACAGAAGTATTGTAAATACTGGATTGTAATCATTCTTCAACATACTTATTGACAATAGACACTGTCTTAGAAAGCATAAAATTCCTCGAATTAGGCTTTTTAAAACACTATGGTATTAAAATGGAAGAAGTCTTTGAAGTCGTTATTACTTGCTCAAAGATAGATTAGATTCTTCCTGGCAGACCTAATACAGCAGTGTTTCTTACATTGAGAGGATATTACCAATTAAAAAGCAAAACAAAACAGCCAAACCCACAAACAAACCACTAATGGCAAAGTCATTTTTAAATGACTAATTGCTTGGTAGGGTGGGGAGGAAAAACCAGACCAGCTTGCCTAGTGACATAAAGCTGAAGGTAAAATCAGCTTTATCATGTTGTGTTTACGTTAGTCTTTTCAGTGTAGCATAGTCTCATCGTATTCCTAGATAAAGAGAACAGGATGACTCAGGTAGATTGTACATAAGTCAAGGTCTGCAAACTATAATTATCCTACTTCAAAGTTAGTTCCTCGTTTGCTAAAATCGAGACAGTTGAAAGCACTGTTGGGTGCACAGTAATGGGGTAGCTAAAGCACAGTTAAATAAGGCATTTGTTATTTTTAAATCGGATTCCAAACACAGTGTAAGCACCAGGAAGTGTCAGGTACATTTAAATTTAATATTAGAGCAATTGTCAAAGATGCATTTAGATAAAAGTGAAAGAAAGATGTTTGCTTTCACCCGAAGCAAAATATGCAGCTGGTAGAGCTTTGAACTATTATTTTAGTGCATTCAGGCAATGCCTAAGGAACCATTATAGGATTGGCTTATCTTACAATCAGGGCAGTTCAGAATAAGTTCTTACATCTAGGATGGCTGTGTTTTAATGCAAGATGAAAGATACTCTCATGTAAATGTCCATTTTAAAATAGATGCGGTTTTTACTGTAAGGCTTTGTTATCTGGTAGACTTCAACTTCTGCCTGTATGAAGCTGTATTTTAAAATGCTAAGTGCCTTGAATGGAATAGTAAATGCTTTGGCCCCTTTACAACACTGTTTCTATAAAATGTTCACTTACCGTTTAAGTGCATTGGTCCCTCTGGCTCGTGTGTAACTGAATGTAGTTCTAAACATGAATACAGTTATAGTATTTTTCTGTAGTATGTGAACATGGTAGTTAATCCTGGTGGTGCTGAAGTCTGGAGAGTGTATTGATAAAGTGATTGTGAAGTACTAGACTCAGCACAGAAATTCCTTATTAAGAAGTCTTCTATGTTTTCTTTGGGTTGTGACCCAGAGACTTGTAAATACCAAGTAGAGTAGTAATCATTCTCTTTGAAACATACATGAAAAAGATTTTACCCAGTGAAACTTCAGGTTATGTCTGGAATTGGGTAGTGGATAATGTTCACTTTTATTAGAACGAGATTGGAAAGTGCTTCTTCTCCCTGAGTGAGAAACAGTTATGGAAGAATGCTGCCTGAAGGAGGAAGTATTGCATTTCTCATGGAAAGGGTGAAGAGGAATATAATATAGCATGTACTCTGCTTACCACCACTGTGTGCTTTAAGAACTGAACTGAGTGAGGAGCATACAGGTTTGGGAACTTTTTTGCAGATGGAAAAAGATTTGTGTGTTTGGGAGTTTCTCTTTTAAGCCCATAGTAGCTAGTGCTTTACTGGAGAATAGCTGTGCTTAGCAAACTCAGGAATTTGCCACTGAACAAGCAGCAAAAGTGAAAATGCATTCATGTAATGCTTAGTGTACGGGACCAGGAGGTACTAAATTTAAACAGCATCCTGCTTGTATTGAAAGCTTTTTGCATATCTGTTTTGCATTCAGTCACACTGGTAATGAGTTCTACAGTCAGCTGGAATACATTGCACATTTTCTACAAGTTGCTGTAAAGCAGCTTTGCTATCTTCTTCAGCCATATGGACAGCTCACACGGTTAACTTTGTCTACTCTGGTGTGCTGCTCTGTGGTGGTGTAATTGCCACGCAGAGCTGTTTGATGGAAGGCTTACTTAATTTGGAGTCTGGCTGTGTGATGAGTAACATGACGGGTATTTTTCCTAAGATATACCTGCAGGGTTGAATGTCTTGTAAGGGATATCAGTCTTTGAGTCCTTGTTTTGGTTTTATATGAGTAATTGCTTCGAAGGAGGAGTTAACCTAGATGCTGGGGGATGGGAGTCTGAGTAACAGCAGTGCTATGGGAGTTGACCTTTGAAGTGCTCTTTGCCAGCACAGCGTTCAGTTTCTCTCCAGTCTGTTTGAATTCTTTACTGACCTTCTTTTGTGCAATACATAATGTGACTTAACTTTTTCTTAATACTTTGGTTTCCTGGTCATATAACTGTTCAATTAGAGGATATCTTTCTGATCTTGTTTTAATTTGAACAAATTAAAACTTGGTTAGAAAGCCTGTGCTTAATTGTAAAAACTTCTGTAGCTTTTGGTTTTCAGATTGGCTTCATACCTCACATAGCAGTTCTGCAGATCCTGTGAGTTATTTATATTGAGTACTTCAGTCTGTAATTTTATCATGGTTCTCACCTTTCTGATACATATTGCCTGTCTGTTTTTAATGGTAATATTGATGCCTTTTTCTAAGATGAATGAATAAAAATTAATTAGCTGTCTGAAGTTGTTGACTTGTGTCACCTTTATGTTGTTGCACTAATCCTTGGTAAACGTTTTCTTACTCAGGTGATATTCATGGTCAGTATACAGACTTGCTTCGATTATTTGAATATGGAGGATTCCCACCAGAAGCTAATTATCTTTTCCTTGGAGATTACGTAGACAGAGGCAAACAGTCTCTGGAAACAATTTGCCTATTACTGGCGTATAAAATCAAGTACCCGGAAAACTTCTTTCTCCTAAGAGGGAATCATGAGTGTGCTAGCATCAACCGGATCTATGGATTCTATGACGAATGTAAGCAAAACCTATTACTCTGAAAGACTGTAACAGGCTAATACTGTGTTTTGGAGATGCTTCTAGTAATGATTCTTGTACTGAAAGGGTTTCCATATTCTGTGAATTTGCTTTGACACTTTCTAAAAATACATTTCAAACCAAGGTTAAAGTCACTCTAGAGCATTGCTACTTTCTCTTCTGCTGTCCTTGAAGTGCTGTTGTGATAGACTGAGACGACCTAAATATGGTAACAGAAATAAAGCCGTATGAAGATGGTTTGCTAACATGTTGGGTCAGGTTGTGACATGTATTGCTCGTTGGCTTTGGAAAAAGCCAGCCTTCTCTTCCTAATATTCCTTGCTGTTCCTCTAGGCAAGCGGAGATTTAACATTAAGCTGTGGAAGACCTTCACAGACTGTTTTAACTGTCTGCCTATTGCAGCTATTGTGGATGAAAAGATCTTCTGTTGTCATGGAGGTAAGCTGATGGCTGATTTTAAAGGCTGTGTCTAAACTGGTTTTTGTTAATACTATACCAAATACAATGTGGATGTGCATACCTGATATTTGGCTGGAAGTGTTTAACCTTGTATTGTCTGTGAAGGTCACTGTTATGCTTTGTGCTTTTCTGCACACTTGGCAGTAGACAGATGTCATTCTTACCTGATACACATGGCCCTCTTGTGCCTGAAGGGGTAGTGCATCTGTAAGTATTCCCATTAGTATATCCCTTTCTGAAGGATGCTGAATGCTGGAATTATTGCCTAATTTGCCACACAACTTGTTGCTGTTACCATCTATCGGTGCAGCCTTAGCTAACATTAGCATCCCCAGCAGTGAAGAATAGCTTTCACAGGTAACCCTAGCTCTATAGTCTTGGTCTCTTTAGCTGTTCTCATGATGTTGGTGGAAGTGACTTCTGTGGTCACACAGTCACGACTGCAGCTTAAAGCAGGACGTTTGTTAACATCGGAGCAGGTCAGCCATGACTTGCATGGACTCCATAAAGCTTTTAGTATTACAAAAATCTAGCTTATATGGGCACCTGTCCCAGTACTGCCCTGTTCTTGTACTGAAAAAAGTGTTTGGTGTTGACCTGTCTGAATACTGGAATTTACTTGGGCTCTCTTCTTTGAAGAACAGATCTCCCCATGATGTTACAGGAAATGATACTTTACAGGTTTTCAGGAGCATGCTGTGTCAAACAGTGGGCAAGAATTTCAAATTACTTGTCGTAAGAGCCATCCTGCCTTTTTGCAGCTGTCTGCAACTGCCTCCATTAATAAGCAACTTGATGCCTTGCACTGAGTGATCCAGAAATGGTTTGGTAGGTGTCACACCTGTGTTGTCAGTGAGATGGAAATTAGTGGAAGTGAAAGCACTGCAGAAACCTCTAGTTTGAACAGTTCCACTTGGGGTTAGAAACTGTGTACCCCAGAATTCCTGAGCAGACTCTTCCAGACTTTGAGGTTGTATTGATGGCTGCCATCCTGCCTTTATTAATTGCAGGTATCTCTGCAAGAGCTCTGCCTGCATGGAATGTGCTGTAAAAATGATCCAGGGTCATCTTCTTGCATCTTGTGTTGAAAGCTTGTGCCTTCAGTGCCTGCAGGTATAAGCTATCAGTCTTATGCTCTGAGGTATTATGTCCCTGTAAATACAGAATTCATGCAGTTGTAGACAGATGAGCCTGCCAGTCTCCGGGTGGCACTGATATGCTGAAGTACTTGCTTTCTTACAGGCAATCTTTTTATCTTGTTCTCAAGCAGGGTGGTGTGGGTTTTTTTTTAATTTTGTAAAATTTTTTTTTAAAGACCTGGTACCTATCTTACAAGCTAGAGTCTCCAAGTTTTAAGACTGTGAAATTACTTTTGTAGCAAGGTAGCCAGTTATCAGTGGCTAAAAGCATGTAACAAAATTGTCTCCAAAAAATGTGGTGAAAGAATTACTATCAAGACACTTCTTTGAATTTTGTTTTATTGGGGAACAGTAGAGAATGGTGACAAAACACGGAGGAGTTTCACGTAATCATTTAAGCTTAGGTGGAAGGTAATCCAAGGAGCTTAGGTAGAGTAGAATGCTATGACAAAACTGGTAGTTTTGTGTGTATGCACTTGAGACCTGAATTATGAGGGAGAAGCCTAGAAAGCTATTTTTCAAGAAAAGAGCTTAGTATTACTGTAAATGGAGGAGGGAAGAATTAACCTCATGTTTAATCAAGTAGGAAAACTTTTATTTTGTACATAGTATACTTTAAGGATCCTCTTAGGAAAGCAGAATTTACTTCTATATTGATTGCAAATTGTCCCTTAAACTTGTAGGGGCTTCACCTGTAACTGAAATTACTGTCACTCACAACTGATCTGTGGCTGTGAAATAAAGTGAAAAGACTACTAATGTGCTGTGTGCTCCTAATAAATGAAAGTGGACATGCAGCGCATGAATAAGTTTTGCCCTTTTTCCACTCTTCTCCAGTCCTATCCAAACTGCATTCCAGATCCAATGAAGTAATGGACTGTCAGCGCCTTTTCATGATGTTACTACTCTAATAAACACTGAGGCAGCAACACAAACCATTCAACTCTGCTGGAGGTTGCAGCTAGCATGTAGATGTAAGGTAGGTGCCTTTTTTACTATATTGCGCATTTTTGCATAGTTTATTTTTAAAATATTGTCCTCTGGGATATATAATAAAACTTTGCAAAACCGCATAACATAGTAAAACAAAAGGCACCTAACTTAACCCCAGTAGGCTATTTACAATAGCTTAAAATCCTGAGTCAGCTTTGATACCTGGACTTTTCTGGGCATCTGTTTGGAGTTCTCTCACAACATAACTCAAACCATTCTTGCTGTCCCTGTCTCTCAGTGTTCGTGCTGCTGAAAGGATCTTTCATTGTATCCTTCTTGTCACCTCCCTCTCTCTTCCCATTCTTTCCACATTGCTCATACATGTCATATTTTGTCCATTTTTTTAAGGATGTCCTCTCAGCTAACTTCTGACTTTGCTCTTTATCTCACTTCATTAAGCTTATTCCATAACTATTCGCAACTTCTCCCTTTATCTCTGCTTTGTAGTCTATACAGTGTTGCCCTCTTATCTGTGACACCACTCTCTAGTTCTAATCTTTAGGGAATTTAAGTGATTACTTTCAAGTTTCTATAGATTAAGTCTATGCTGTAGTGTCATGGCGATGGAATATGTTGGCCTCATCACATTGGGTTTAAGCTCTGAGCTGGGAGTTGTGTTCGTTTCATTGAGTACTGCATTTATATAGTATTTTCAGGCTTTGGAATTCTGTTTTGCTTGTGATGCTAGTAACAGTGAAATGTATGTTGAAGGTTGTCTACTTGATTTACATAGCATTCAAAGATTACACTATAAAAATAAGTACCCATCGCACTTACTTTACAAATTCCACCCGATCAGGGAGTGGTTCAAATCAAATTTGATGAGTCTGCCAGGAGTAATGACAATTATTTTTCTGTTTTCCCTTAGGGGAGAGGTGGTCTTATGCTTCAAAAAGATTGTGCACTGAGAGAGACTTTTTATGTGCTTAGCTGACATGTGACAAGGCAACTTAATTTTGTGCTTTCAGTGCACTGTAGGTTGCAGCAGCCACTGGGCAGCAGCTTGACAGTAAGCTTTAGCTTGTGTTTACATTCTTATTTCCTGCATTTAATGCTGGTCCCATACAACTTTTGTCTGTAGATATGAATTTGAGGTATTAGCTAGTTCTTTTTGTGTAGGGGGAGTTGGGAAAATAGTTGGGCAGAGATGACCTGGATGGTTACAAAGTGGTAGTTTTGTGGGGCTTTGCTATTTTACAGTAGCATAAAATAGGACAAAAATAGCAGCCATGGGGTTGGACATGGTCTGTAATAGCACATTTCCTTTTAAAGAATCACAGATAGGTTTGGGTTGAAAGGGACCTTAAAGATCACCTAGTTCCAGCCCCCCTGCCATGAGCAGGGAACCTTCCAATAGACCAAGCTGCTCAGAGCCCCATCCAGTCTGGCCTTGAACACCTCCAGGGATGAAAGATACTTCATGTTTTGGGTGCAACCCGAAGTGCTGCAGGGAAGGTCACTGACCGGTTGTGCTTGTTTTACCAAGATTGCCCTTTACTATCTCAGGGTGTGGTGCTGAGTGCTAATGTAATGTGCATGCAGATAGATCTGGGGAAGGGGTAGGTTGGCCAAAGTTTAAAAGCCAATTATCTGCTTGAATTTATATTAGTATTCCTGTATTGTGTAAGTAGACTTGACTAAAACTCGTTTAAGCTGTAAAATTTCTGCCATGCTTTAATATCTCGAGGTACTATCAGGAAGACAGCTTTACCAGGCTGATGATGATAGGTTTTTATCATAAGACTGCTTCAACAAAAATAATCTAAAATCTTACTACTTGAAGAAAAGTTCAAGTCTTTATATCAAATGTATTGGAGTAATTATTCCTGTAACAAATACATTACCACTGTGCAAACTGATGTTACCTGAAATTATTTTACATGTTGACTCCTTTCCAACCATGGGTTTTGTTCTGTCCTGTTCAGAGTTCTGGACTAAGTCAAATGGATATAGTTTGTTAATACGAGATATGTTTCATCACAAATTAGGTCTTCATGTTCTATTTTCAAATTTGCAACTTCCTTAATTAGGTAACTTTGCCTAAGTCATTTAAGTCACTTAGGACCCTTATTTAAGAACATGTTAAGATGCTAGAGCATCTAGTACGCTCTCCTTGATGCCTGTATGCCTCAAGTAGAAAAGCTTTAGAGTGTGTTCTAAACTGTTCAGAGGGTGGCTTTGGGCATCCCATGCTTTGGCTGTAAATGCATGTTGATGTCAGCGCTGTGGAAAAATATCTGTGTCTTTGGTAAGCCATTTTTTGAGTAATGGAAGTACTGTGGTTTTATAAATGACTAAGCAGCTGAGCTGCAGTAGATGACCACCTCTGTGGCCCTTACCTATTGCAGTTGCACAGTCCAGTATTCGTTTGCAGCAGCTGTTTGGCAGATGTATGGGAAAGCACTTGACACAGTGATGTGACTTATGATTCCAGTCACACCTCCAGGCCACTTTGGCTTGTGGTCTTTTAAAGCTGGGCAGAGGATTTTCCTTTAGGTTTTATGAACTAAAGTGCTTGTAAAAAGTCATCTGCACTCAGTTTGTGTTAGATAATGGAAATGCTACCCTTCACTAGTTCTCTGTAGTGTCCTTGGCAGTGTTAGGTCAGTGGTTGGAATCAGTGATATTAAAGGTCTTTTCTGACCTATATGGTTGTAAGCTGTTTAAGATAATGTCCTTAACTCTAGAGGTCTGTGCTGTGTGGCTAAAAGGATGGTAAATAAAACCCCTTGCTAATTTCACTTGCTTTATTCTCTGTCCCTCTCTTCAGCAACTTAAGTATCTTACAGCAAACTGCCTTTTGTTTACATTGCAGTGAAAACAATGGATGCTGTATGGCTTTGAACCTCAAATTTTGTGTTCTCTGGAATTCTTTTTGCAGGTAAAATACGTATATAAGTCACTTGTTTTCTTTTCCTTTTACAGGACTGTCTCCAGATCTCCAGTCAATGGAGCAGATCCGGAGAATTATGAGACCTACAGATGTTCCTGACACAGGTGAGTGGCATGGAATTTGCTGTAAACAGGTCTCAGTAATGAAACAGGTTTAATCAATCTCTGTTCAGGCAGTGTAGTGACTTAACCTCTGTTCACAGTACGACATTCCTTGGCGCCTGTGTAGGGTGAGTCTTGTTTCTCATGATGGCTTCGTTATCTGATCTGTTAGAGGTTATTGCTCACATTGTTATTGCTTGTCATAACAGAGTAGGATACATTACTCAAGTTTGGATACATTATTCACAAGTTTCTGTAAAAAAAAACGTAGAAATCTAATAAAAAATAAAGGAAGCTGAACAGCTAGCGCTTTCTCTTGCCATGGTTGGGTGCACACAAACCTTTTAGTCTATCAAAGAACATAACTGTTCAAAGCTTCCTGAGTGTTAAAGTATTTGGGCTTCTCTCTACTTGAGGCCTTGTCTCCTTCCTCTTTAAATGTGAAAAGTACAGCTCCTACTTCACTGCAGGTGGGATTTCAATTGCATCTATTAGTGTGGTAACTGAGAAATTTTCTTCTGATTCATTATTACTTTGTTTATAAATATTGGATGCAAATTGCTAGTGTCTTCTGTACAATGTTCCTCTGAATGGCTTAATTAATAATCTTGCTCAGTGTCCCATTCATTACAAATTTTGTTACTAGTGGATTGAATAGGCTGACGGTCAATACAGTGGGATAGTTTTTAAAATATTGATTTCAACAGTGGTCTGAAATTAACTTTTAGCGGTGATACAAGATCTAAACCTTTTTTTAAGCATAGATTGCAATTGCAGTGAAACCCTGGCATAGAAGAATTGTGCTTCCTGCAATGTTCCTCAGTGTTGATGCATGGGAGTAATTCAGGGGCTAATATATCTACTGTCCCTTAAACAACACTTCCGTGCAAGCTCCTGTATACTCTCTTGACACTGAGAAGAATTATAGACAGGTGAATGAGTGTTTCTGTAGTATAAATTGCTAGATTGTTCTTCCTTTTATGTTACTTTTTTGGTTATGCATTGAGTGAATAAATGTCAGTACCAACAAGTCAATCTTTGCATTTATCAGAGCTCTGAGAAAAGATAGTTCAATTCAACAGGCAAATAGTACTGCTTGAGCCACCCCCACTTCAGGAA